GGTCCTTTTTGAGGTAACTGCCAGTTAGGTCTGCGGGCGCAAACTCTCTAATGACTATACGGTATTTATTTGTCTCCGTAAGACACGGGGGTTTTTCTTTTTCTTTTTCTTTTTCTTTTTCTTTTCTTTTCAACTATTGTATGTTCAGATTGTCAGGTGCTTTTGCAATTGCAATACCGGTACTCGAATACGGCACTCGAGTGCCGAGCCTTGGGATAAGTTGGGCTCACCGACGGCCCGTGCCCTTCTAAGGAAACTCCGCTCAAGTGGCCGGCGCTAGGTCCTGATGAGTAAACATCCTCCAGGGGTTGTCGAGAGATTCACTTGGTTTCTTCAAGCGCAAATCTCCACTCACGGCTTACTGCATCCCAAGGCATCCAAGCCCACCCAATCAATGGGTGCATTCGATAGGTATTCCACCTGGTCGACAAAGCTAAGGGCGGTAGCGTTACCCCACAATGGCAATTTTCGAGTAATCAGCGGCGGGGGTCTACCTGGTACAGTGCTGCCGGCCTCCACGATTCATTCCTCTCCCGTATCGTGGGCCAACCTGGTCTCCTGCGAGTGATCTCCTCGACCCTTAGTTTCACAACCCCACCCGGTATGCGCGCCAAGCCGCGATTACAATACTAGTATCATACAGCCCTCCAAGAAGTATCATACCCGTGTCCCTCGGCGTATGGCGGGAGAATGCCGTCCCGGGGGCACTGGAGCTCCGAGCCACTCCCCGTGTGGGGGTACAGTACCGGTATCGTACAAGTATGATACCTGCAGCGCCGACACACCCCGAAAAGGCCGAGTCCGCTTTCGACCGCTCGGCACGGTACCGGTACAGTTTTTCCCAGCAACTCTCCCAGGATTCGACAGATCACTCCAGAGTCCATGATCAAGTGATATGTTGGTTAGGGCTCCCGTACCGCACGACCCATTACCAGTATGCCGCAACACGCTCTTCGGCTCTTTGGAACGTGTCACGCGGTACCCATACTTGTACTTGTACTAGCAATCCTGGGTCTTAACAAACGGTTGTATGTATTGAGAATCTGCCAGTGTACCGTACCAGCATTTTTCAGGGTGGAGTGTCGTACCAGTAGCGTTTCTGGCGCTTGACGAGCCTTGTGTAGTGCCGCTGTGCCTGGCACAGCACAAGGAACTGTCAGAGCATAGTGTGATGAGTCGGTGGCACAATTTGGCGTAATTCAATTGTGGAGGATGGGAGAACTGTGGGTTTCTACCATTACCCCTCGTGAAGATAATAATAACTTCAAAATCTGCTTGGTTCAAGACCTTCCAAATATTGAAATTCATCCTGCAAATAGTCTCCCCCCTTCTCCAATCCTCCTCCTCCTCTCATTTTGTCCCTTTTTTGTTTTGTCTTGTGTTATTTCCCCCCCGTTTTGCCTTGGCGCTGTATGCACCGGCAGTGACTTGCCGGGCACATTGATATGGAGACTCGTGTCATGGCACAAATTCTCCTCACGAAGCGCCAACAACGCCACGTCCCAGGCTCTCAGGGAAGCCGAAGACACTGGACACCTCCTGGTCGGGGGATTGTAGGAAATGTAACAGTACTCTACAAGCACGGGTATCGCATTGCCGGATGTGGCTGAACGCCCTCTACGCCCAGGGTGGTAGAAAATATGATATCCGAGCACACAGCAGAAACCTTGGCGCTCATCGCAACTTTACAAAGGCCCGACCCGGTCAAGAGTGCCCGGAGTAGCAGACTCTGCGGTTGTGAACTACTGGGCGTAGCTAACACCCCTCCATACCTGACCACCGCCATACCCAACAATGCTTTACCATGAGCACGCAGGAGATGGGAAACGCTTAGTCTAGCTAAGAGGGACGAGTGCTGTAGAAAGTACACAAAGGATTAAAGGATTCAGGGATCTGTACGGTCATGTCCGTAAAGTTCTCATACCTTCCTTTGCCTCTGGTAACTGCACCGGTGCCTATTAACAAGAAAAGAGCAGTATGAGCCGCTTAGGTGGCTTTTTCCGGATACCCCTCTAGGGACATCGTAAAATTTTACCACAACCTGTTCTACTGAGTAACGGGAAACGGGGGGGGGGTTAGCGGGACGTTTTCAAGGTACAGGAACTTTGCGGGGGAGCTTTAGACATATTCCCTGATCTATATCCCAGTGTGATTGTCATGATAGTGCTCTGAGGCGTCTCTGGCGGCTCAAATAGAAGCTTATTTCTTCATCCTTCGTATTTAACGGTTAAACCCACCGCCCACCCTTGTTAGAGTATATGCGGTAGATCTATCATACTGTTCTGGCCATCAAGCTCTTCTCGCTCATCTGGGGGCAATTGGTGGAATGGGACAGAATTATTGGAAACTGTGGCTTCTCGGGATCCAATTACCAGTAATTGACCTAATCATATACTTTTAGTATATGGATGCTGGGATGATGTCCTCATGAGTACCGTGGTTGTCCGGTGTGACTGCTATATTCTTGTAATATATTAGACCTCCTCCCTCACAGGAGATAGTTGATTAGTCGAAGGAAGATATTCTACAACAAGAATTTTAATCGAGAAAACGAGTGATAATTGTGATTTAGCCGAAGTTGCCGGTTCTGTGCGTTGTTCCATAAATTATGCATACCGGTTGCACTAGACCCCTTTGAGCGGCAAAGACTAAGTGTTCAACGGGTAGGCCAGCACTTGACTTTCAACACTCAACCGTCCCTCCCTGTCTCACCTTTTTCCTTTTTTTCTCTTCCCTCCAAACTTTCAGGCTTTCAACCTTCTCTGCTACCTTACCGAGGCTCTCGTTTATGCAGTGGCACGGAGGCGATCCGGTTCATCACCCATCATCACCCATCTCCCCACAAAGCCAAACTCTCTAAACTCGAACCCTTAATCGCTCTTATCGGTCCTTCTTTGGCCCTGCTGCAATGACCCACGCGGTTTACGAACCGACTCCGAACAGAGATTCACTTGAACTAGACTCACTGGTCTCATCGTCAGCTTCTGCGTCACCGCGTTCCTCAACATCCTCCCGCTCTGGGATCTCGTCCTCCCGTCGATTGTCGCTTGCTTCTGACGATGAGGACGCTGAACCTGGTCGGTCACGTGCTTACAGGTCCTATTCCGTGTCCTCCGCTTTTGACTTCAATACCCATCTAGTGCCCCTTACATCATCGGCAGAAACCCGGTATCAGCAACTGGGTGCGACGAATGCTCCTGGGTCGGGCCCCGTGGGTACATTAGAGAAGCAAAAAACTCTCACGTATCTCAACGGATTGTCGCTACTGGTTGGCCTGCAGATAGGCTCTGGAATATTCTCCTCACCTAGCCAGGTTAACAACCATACACCATCTCCGGGGGTGAGCCTGGTGGTCTGGGCTGTTGCTGGATTATTAGCGTGGACGGGTGCTGCGAGCTATGCTGAGTTAGGCGGTGCTATCCCCTTGAATGGTGGAAGCGGTGTGTATCTGCGGCATTGTTTCGGAGAGTTGATTGGATTTTTGTATTCATGGGCGGCGGTCATTGTATTGAAGCCTGGAGGCGCGGCTATCATCGCGATTATATCGGGAGAGTACATTAATAGGGTTATCACGGGGTCATTTACGGCAGAAGCTGATGCAGCGCTCCCATCGGAATGGGCGAACAAGCTAGCCGCCTTTTTGTGCTTATCCTTGGTTACCGCACTGAATATACTTTCGACGAGACTCACCACCCGATTATCTGATTCACTACTATTCCTAAAGGTGGGGAGCCTGTTGGCCATTACGATCATTGGTATTGTCGTTGCTGTAACGGGGCTGAACGGAGACGGGAAGGGAGCTAGCACCGAATGGAAGGATAGAGGGTGGTTCGATAGCAGAAAAGGGGGTGTATCGGGACGGGAAAATGAGTCGATGGTTGGTGGGCTAGGGGAATATGCAATTGCCTTGTATGCTGGGTTGTGGGCCTTTGATGGCTGGGATAACGTTTGGCACCTTATCGCCTGCACCTGCTCATGCTAATTATTGCTATAGGTCAACTTTGTGGTTGGTGAAATGAAGAATGCCCAGCGAGACCTCCCTCGGGTGATCCACAGTGCTATGCCTGTTGTGATTACGTCTTATCTCCTCGCGAACGTGGCATACTATTTGGTCCTTCCAGGAGAAGTGATTGGGAAAAGCAATACGATTGCAGTGGTATGTGTGTTCCCTCAGATCTTGGTAGGCTTGGATTAACAAGGAATAGGCATTTGGTACCAAAGTATTTGGTACAGCTGGCGGTGTTGTTTTTGCCCTGGCCGTATCTCTTTCCTGTTTTGGCGCTCTAAATGCTACTACCTTTACCTCCGGCCGCCTTGTCTACGTTGCGGGTAAAGAAGGCTACCTTCCCGCCATCTTCGGCACATTGGGGTTGCGTGGAGGAGGGAACGAGCCTAGCCGACGCTCCTCGGGCTCCAATAAAAAATCGATCTTGGAACGTATCCTTTCGATTTTTGGGCGTGGTGCCTCTAATGGCGAACCGAGTATTCATTCTTGGAACAAAACCCCGATATATGCTATGCTGCTGAATTCCTTTTTCACCGCACTTTACATTACCGTTGGTGAATTTGGAACACTACTCACGTTCTATGGGGTAGCAGGATATACTTTCTATTTCCTTACAGTTCTCGGCTTGATAGTCCTGCGCGTCAAGGAGCCAGACCTTGAAAGGCCATACAGAACCTGGATAACCACTCCCATAATTTTCTGTTGCGTCAGCCTATTCCTGATATCCCGAGGGGTGTTCAGTAGCCCGCTGCAGACGCTTGTGGTAGTTGGCTTTGTGATGGCTGGAATACCGGTTTACTACTGGAGGGTTGGAGGGTGGAAGGGCTGGAAGTTGCCTTGGGGGAAATGAGTAAATGAATAATTCAAGATGATGAACTATTTCTTTGTGGAGTTGGGGTATAGGTGGTGTTTAATTTCGGCTTTCGCTCTATGTCTTTTATGAGGAGGGCTTATTATCTGTTTTACACTGTTTGTTGTATATTGGACTGGGGAGAGGGTTGGTAGATAGCTCGGGCGGTCATAGATGGGTCATGCAGGATGTAATGTAGGTCGGACGAGTGCAATGATAAAATGATTGGGTTAGATACTAGTGATAACTTTGCTCCAAGCCGGGTGTGATTCGATTATTATAATTCCATGAATGTGAAAATGGCTCCAATAAACAATTTACCGTACCTACGAGTGCTCTGCTTGTACATCGCCCCTTCGTTGGTGCCCCTAGGGGTAGATTCACCGAACCTCACTCGAGGCCGATGAACGGGTTAGGGTTGGCATGGATGATCGAAATACGGCACAGTGACTTACCGGTACCGTACCGGTATCATCTGGACGCCCCTTTTGAGAACGACCGGATCTTGGCGTGAGGCTACTCGACGAGTACGGTTACCCTCTCGCCACCATCTCTCTCCACCGCTGTGATGCAGCACCGAGCCTCGACAAACTTGCATACAAGCACCGACAACACCCTTCAAGCTTAGGACTCTCACAACTCCGCATCAAGGCGTCCTACACTTGCGATCGTGTCCTACTGCATTTAAGAGCTGAAAGTCAGACAGGATGGGTGGCGTAAGTTTCCCTTCTATTCGCGCTTCCCCCGTGGTTAAACGAGCGCTAACCCCCTACAGGATCTCAATCTCAAAAAATCCTGGCATCCTCACCTCCTCAAGAACCAAGAGCGCGTCTGGCAGGAGGAGAAAAAGGCCCTAGAAGAGCGCAAGCGCATCGACCAATGGCGCAAAGAACGGGAAGAGGAGCGCCAGCTCCAGGAGCTCCGGCAGTTACAAGCTGCCGCTGGTGGCAAACAGGCTGTTGACCGGGTGGATTTTTTGATTCTGGCCCTTCGCAGGGGATGGATAGGACTACCGAGGAGATGGAGGGATATTTACTTGGGAAGCGCAGGATTGATGGACTGCTGAAAGGGGGGGATATGGATGTTTTGAAGAAGGATGCTGGTGTCGGTGTTGGTGCTGGGCCGGCGGCGGCGGCTACGGGCCCAAGTGCGGCGGCGGGGGGGTTGCCGGGCGTAGCTAATGTCAAAGATATTGCGAATAAGGTTCGGGAAGACCCGCTGTTGGCGATTAAAAGACAGGAGCAGGCCGCGTATGAGGCATTTATGAAGGACCCTGCTAGGAGGAGACAATTGAAGGAGGCTATCGGCGGCAAGTCTGGGGATAAGAGCAAGAAGAGGGAGAAAGACAGGGGTGATCGGAGGCATAGGAGTAGGCATGACGATCATGACGATGATAAGAGGGGTCGTCGTGATGGGCACAGACGGGATGACGATGATAAGAGGAGTCGTGATGATAGACATAGACGGGATGACGATAGGCGTAGGCGGGATGACGATAGAGGCCGACGAGACGATGATGGCGAAAGGATCAGCCATAGGGATAGGGATAGGGGTAGGGATAGGGAAAGGGACTGGGAGAGTGACAGGGACAGAAGACATCGCCACCACCATCGCCGGAGAAGATCCACATCCGACGACTACTCTCTACCCCGCTCCCGAAGTCCCCCCGCTCGCCGCCACTCTCCACACCGCCCCTATTCTCTTCGCCACCGTGTTCCATATCCTCCCCCCAACCGAAGATCACCTCCCTCTTCCTACCACCATGACCCAGAACCGACAGGACGCCCAGCAGACAACAACGATACCCAGCGCGCCCAGAAACTCGCGATCGCGGAAATGGTGACCAATGCCTCACAAATGAACGCCGACAGGGCGAAACGTCTGGCGGAATTGGCGATCATGGAAAAAGTGGAGCTGGAAGCCGAAGAGAAGGCTCGCATGCGGAGCTCAAAACTTGGTGGTAAGGGGGAGTTCCTCACGGGGGTTAATAGGAAGGTTGGGGACTTGGATCTTGGGGAGAGGGTTCGGAGAGGGCGCCAAACGCTTGTTGCCGAGAGGGAGGATTGAGCCTTTTCGGGATACATCTAGAGGTGGGTGGTGTTTCGGAGAGATCTTGATTGTGCGACTTGTAATAACGGGTGATTGCTCAAGGGTGGAATTTCGTACCTGCTGGCTGGTTTGGTTTCACTTTTATGGACTGTGCTGGAGTTTTGTCATGATACTGGGTAACTTAATCAATGAGATTCTGCGTTCCAAAATCATTTCCGGTAAAATAGGCAAGCATGATGCTCCTCTGGTCCGTATTTGCACGAAGGTAAAGAGAGTACTGTAGGACTTTGTGTTTGGGGATAACTTTTATCTCCTTCAGTTGATTTACCCATCTATCATACCACCCTGGGTTTCTCTCCGCGTGCATGTTCCGCAGTGGCAGGATTTTTTTTTTGCAATGACCATGAGTCTAACCCCGTCAAAAGCTCCCTTTCCCATATTCCAATTCCTTCATCGGGACGGGCCCATGTTTTTTTTTTAGTTCGGTTCGGTTCGGTTCGGTTCGTTTCAGCCACACCACCGTAATGCCCTTCATTTCTTCTTCTCTCCCAGACAGACAGACAGACACCATGGCAAGGAGGCAAAGGTTTCTGGAATTCTCGCATCCAACGGTATCGAGCAGAAGAGACGCCCGAGTGGCGCGCTGCTCACGCGGGAGTGAAGTCTTTCCCGCTCGCTTCGTGATTTCTCGGTTTAGGTTGGTTAGTCATTGGCGGGATGGTAAATTATGATGTCATGGCGCTTATCGTGGTGATATTTATCCATGTGGTATCACTCGTTGCCACTGCTGCATATGCTGGGGCTATTGTATCATAATGTCCTGCACCTCTAGATTAGGGGGGGGGGGTGGACTATGATGGTAAGTGTGCTCAAATGGCTTTGTTACCGGTATGGGTATCATACAGTACGGAGCTTTTGCTGTGTTGGCAATTACATGGCGACTGGCGGTATAATACCTTAGTAGATGAGGAAGGGGCCAGCGGTGAGTATGTGGAAGAAAAGATGTAGTGGAGCGATGGAAAAGGGTGGGGATATCGATAACAGCTTGCTGACCGCGCGGTGTTTCTTGGTTCCGGTTTTTATGGAGAGGAGAAGAGATCGATTCGGATGGGGGAAAGGGCATATTACGCACTGAGAAGGGAATAAAGATAAAATAAAAAAAGCTCACGGGACCTGTGAATTGTTGGAGTATGGAGGCGGAAGTTATTGATGCATACTCGCGCTCTGATGGGTTGAAATGAGCCTGAGATGTAATGGTGCCCATGCCCTCTAACTCCCTTCAGCCATACAGTTTTGGCATGGCTCGCACTTATCGTGTTAGAAAATTTTCATATCAGTCTTGTCAATCGAGACCGAAGGTTCCCCGGACCCGCAGTATCTTTCGGAATGCTGGCATTGGCTACTGTTAAGAGGCATGGCGTTCCTCCGCGTACTGTACACCACCCCGTTACCATAGGGAGGAGGGAGGGAGGGCGGAACAGGGAATGGCTCGCCCGCCTGACTTTTATTTGTATGATATGGGTGCAGTTTAGGGAAACGGAGTAAGATTGCTTTTTAGGGGTTTTGAGTTATGAGTAGTTTTAGTTTACATAGCAACCAGGACACTTTTGAGAAAAAGAGAAAAAGATTCTTTGACAAAGAAATTGAAATAGTCTTACCACTCATAGAGTAAACAATATCAAAATACAAAATAAGAATCACTTAAGTTGGGGCTTTAATTCTATCTAAAAAGTTTTTCCCCTACATAAACTTAATAGGTTCAAATTAAGATTATCTATTAATATTATATATTAAGGAAGATTATAAGACTGAGTAAGCAAAACTAATATGGATCTTAGTCTTTCCTCCTAGACACTTACTTCAACTATTGTTGCATTTAATCATCTTCATACAGGTTTATAATGTCTGTTAATTTCAGGAAAGTGAAGACATTTTGATAAACTTTATAATAACCACAGATGCTACTCTTGAAAATATTTGAAATTTCACATATAGGTAGATTCAAAGATTGACTTTAATTCTATATAAAAAAAGATTTTAACCTAGAATTTCAAAATAATCATTACAGGTCCAATATTGCTTGGATTTTAAAATTAAATATTTTTCAAGAAGCCTGGGGGATACTCTAGCTTCTACTAAATCCTTACAGCCATTGAACTTATTTTGTGGTTGTTGGCAATCTTGGTACTTTTCACTGAAATGCACCCATATCATACCGGATCCCGCCCGATGGCCCGGCGGCTTAGATTTCGATTTCTCTCGGCAAACTAATTACCGCCCGCGAAGGGAACTGGACTTGATAGGCCGGGAAAGACCAAGGCTCTCGGAAGGACCGTATTATATGGGCATGCCATGCACCGGAAGCTAACTGCCATATTTTTGGAATTTCGTTGGTGGACTTGGAAGATTGGAAAGTTGAGAAAATTTAATGGACGAGCGGACCGGAACATCGCGGTTTGGGAGCAGTCAGAGGGCACTATTGCTTTCCGGGGCGGCCAAAATATTATTGAATCAGATAACGAATTGTTTACCAAGAGCTCAGAATGGTGAATGAATGAATAGCTCGACTTGAGCGCTCCGAATCGGGAATTTTTTTTTTCATTTTGTTTCTCTTCATCCTTTTTATATAATGCCCGCTGACTTGTGATGGGGTGGGTCTCTGAGGTGCACCAGCACCGATTGCATTGGATATTTTCGTGGTGCGGCCCTTTGGTCGCGGTCCTGCCTTTACTCGTATAGACCCCTCTGCACCATGAGAATCGAGAGAGAGGGGTGTTCTCACCACCTTATACGGGGAGCCCCTCTCGCAGTAACTTATTACGACTACTGTTACAGTTGTACGGTACTCGTACTGTACGGTGCAAATACCGGTAGATGATTGGCTAAGTCCCCCCAGGGTGTGGGAGAAAGAGGCTTAGCACCCGTCTTGGCCGAATGGCGTCTCATGTCGATGTTGCACGGGCTAAGTATCAGCAGAACATTGTGGGTATATTTGACTTTTTTAATTTTTAATTTTTAATTTTTTTTAATTTTCCTTTCTCGTAATATCCTTTTCAAGTTTCCAAATGATGTCCGGTTAATAGTTTCATGACTCGGGGGTTCAAAGGACATTGTGGTTGCTGGACAACCGTGGCCATCTAACTGTGGTAGGTAAATCATTTGAGCACTTCGATGAATGGGGAGCGACTGATATATCTTAATGCAGCACTGGCGGTGGAACTGGCTGTGCCAGCCTCGGTTTACTGGTCTTACCATTGATACCATTATAAGTTGGCTACTTTTCCATTACCTTGGTGGTATTTAACCTCTTTACTATACTATGGTGGACAATCTGCTCGAACAATGAAACTTTTGCATTGCCCCTGCTAGTCCCTAAGGGGGTGACGTTGAAAGAACTGCCTCTATATTCTTTGGTGGTGATGGGCACGGGTATTTTGCATAGCTAGTGTTAATTATGGTCTGAAGTTTGCACATCTGCAAGGCTGTAGCAATGAGCAAGTTGCAGGTTGATTTGTGTCTTCGACACTTACGGGGGAGGCACAAAATGTTTTACTCTCAGGCTCTTAGTGGTTTGGGATCTGAATCTAGAATACAACAAATGCTGTATCACATCTGTAAGTGGGATCTTATCGTTTGCACATCTAGTTTAAGACAGCACTGGCAGCTAACACAAGTCTCATCTCTCTATTCAGAAGTACATCTAAGTAGTACATCTAAGGAAAATACTATCATATAAACTGTGAGGATTAACACGAGCTCCTCCAGTCCTTTCATTGCTTCTTATTCTGGCCAGACAGCGAGCCTTCCTGACTCTCAAGTTTCAACTCCATCTTGAGTTGAGTTATCGCATTTTGGATCATTGTGGTGAGCCTTTTCTCCATGTCGTCCTGTCTTTTTGATAGTCTTTTCTCGGTACTGTTGTCGTAGAAGAGTTTGCCTATAACCTGGGCAATTTGTTAGCTTAATGTCACACAATAAGAATCCACGAGTAACATACTACTAAAACAACTACTCTTATCATAAATTGTGTCCATTCATGGTTCCTTCTGGCCGTATTCTCCAACCTCTTCTCCAACCCCTCCAACCTCTTCTCCAACCCCTCCAACCTCTTCTCCAACCCCTCAAACCTCTTCTCCAACCCCTCAAACCTCCTCTCCCATTTCTCCTCAAACCTCTTCTCCAAACTCTCGATACTCTTCTCCAACCTTACAAACAATTCTTTTTCCAACCTTGCAAACTGAGTTTCCAAATAGTCCCCTCCCGAAGCTCTTCCATTGGTCGTATACGACTATTCGGCTATGGTGTTAATATTTGTCCATGGATACCCAAAGAGAGTTGGCGTGCAAGCCTACCTGAGCACGAATATGTTGAACCATACCAAGACGGGAGGGGTGTAGAGGATGGTAGGTATGTTGGGCAAGACCAAGGTGGGAGAGGTGTAGAGGGCGATGAATAGGTTGGGTAAGACCAAGGCGGGGGAGGTGTAGAGGATGATGAGTAGGCCTTAGATAAAGGGGTCTGGGGTGACGAGCAAGTGCTGAGCGGAATCCACGGCTGATCTGATGGCCTGACATGGTGAAAAAGGGCTGTAGATAGCTTTTCAAAGTTTTTTTTCGTGGTTTCTGGTGGAACGGTGGGGGATGGATGGTGTAGTTAAATACAATTCTGCGGGAGAAGAACTGGCCAAACAAGTTATCACGCTAGTCCCTATTAGAAACACATATAGGGTACCTGCTATTGAGATACCTTTGTGAAGCTCAACTAGTGGGTGGAAGCACAAGCCACTCAAACAATCTTCTCGCATTACCCAACTCGAATGGCGGGCTTTCGCGTGGTTAACGTGATATTGTTGAATCGCGTATCCTATAATATGCTGGCCTTGCGCTCGGGGTACCAATTTGGTTAAGGAAACAATGAGATCGGGAAGGTATACATACTTCCTTAACCGGAGATATATTGTTAAGATCTTTGGCCGAGGTTTCAAACTGAGGACTTGGGCCCATATCTAGGGTGCTCTGACAGATTGAAAGGATGTGGTAGGACATTTGCTTATCGGGCATCTGAGTATGAGGTTTGCGGTGATCGGGCGGAGTGGAGGTTGTTTGCGGTATTCACATTCTATGCTGGTAGGTATAGAATGTGGGTGTTGGTTTGCTTTGTCGATACCCGTTGCATTGCGCATTAGGAGGCTGGTGTTTGGATTGGTCTGTTGATGGCACCCTACGTGGGTCGACATATCATAGTTGTATGATATCATGATTGTATTTGCTTCTCTCACACCCTGAGCCTGTCGGCATGGGGCAGTGGTGTGGTTTGTTTGATCCTTTATGCCGGTCGGCGTGCGCCCTATGGCGTGAGTTCTGGGATTGGGGGGTTCCGGAGTGTTCGATATTGTGGAGGATCACGAGCTTTCCGGACTGTATGGTTTGGGCGAAAAGCAGGGCTACCGTGATGTATCCGGTTGCCCACTGTGGGTGGCTCCGGGCGGGAGAAATTGTGGCTTTAACCCTGGGATGCGGCGCTCCCTTTGTGGGGTCAGGTCTTTTGCGTACACCGGTACTGGAACTTGATGGAGCATGGGTTGTTGACTGGTGGCTGCCATGCGTTCCTAGAATAAGCGTGGGCCGGTGCAAATTGGTTGGCTTTGTCGCCCTTTCTTTGGTAGGTTTATGGACAGTATCGGAGGGCCCCCGCAGAGAGACTGGGGATTCTTTGACACTAGTTATTGATGGAACTTGTTGATGTGTAGAAATCACTGAATTGGGTACGGAATCGAACTTCCTAATGCGGGCTCTGGTCATAGGATGATGATGCGCCCATGGGGTTCGTTCCGATTTAGTGGACTAGCTCCTCGGGTCCAGTTTCGACAAGGGTGGGTTAGAGACACCCCCGAATCGGCCTCAAAGGGTCCCGATTTACGGGGGGGGAAATTTGGCAGTGGCTTTACGGACTCTTGATGCAAGTGATACCCCCCGCCAAAAATTCTTGATGACTCCCACCTGGGCCGGATGACCCAAACCCTCTTCCGGGAGACTTGGGCCGTTGCAGAGTATATTCCGAGTTTTGCTTCCTGCCATGAGGGGTAAGGAGCAGCTGAAAGCATGGTTTCTGGTACTCCGGACTCGGATGGGGAAATATTGGCCAGATCGATATTTCGGAATCCTTCCTTTTGACATTACGGATTTTGCCGTCTCATCCAGCGTCGCGAGATTCTCGATTGACGAGAGCAGCTACGTAAAAACGGGGGTGTCTGCGTGAAAACAACGGGAGTGTACTGCTCCTAGACAAGGCTTAGCTTCATATGTCGTGGCGAGCAAAGGAACCTAGTCCTTTATGGCAGTTGATCGCGGGTTTTCTCGGGAGTTAGTTTGTATGTGAGGATTGAGGAGAGGGGGCATGCTGGTAGCCGAGAGGTGAGCTGCGCTGTCACCCTCGCCAGTCGGGAATCCAGTGACGCTAGAAGGGGCCATGTTATTGTACTGCAACCTGATTATTCCTCTACAGCGCTGGGAGGGCACGTCACTTCAGAGTAAGATACGAAGCTAACCATCGGGGACAGAAAACGAAGGTTTGCTGTGGCAGCAGCATGCGCCCTAGATGTGTTTCCCTCCGGGCCCCAGGAACACTTGGTTCGAGCCGTTGTTTATACCAATTTTGGATGCCCTCCTGCCGTCTGGATATAGGGGCTTTGCTTACTTTGCTCATCCGAGCAGAGTTTGCCTGCAAGGATCTTCTCAACGATGGCCTGGTTTTCATGTATGATGGAAGAACATTTCCCCGATTTTTCCTACCTACACGGTACGTGTACAGTGCCTGTCCCGGCCCGTACATGCCGGGCCCAGCGACATCCGGGCCTGCATTTGATTTTTTTGTTGTGGGGGGGGTTAGGTTGCTTGGCCTTGACAGCTCATACTGCACCTAGCTGTTAGCTGTGGGGACGTACATGGTTGGCATCTTTTTTTTTTTAGAACAAGGTGAAAGCCTCCCCCGCCTCTAGGTTCTCTGCCTCTTGGTCTCTTGCAAACCATAGATCTGTTTCTGGTTCTTTCCAACCTCTAGGTTCCCCACTTGCGTCACCCAGTATCACTCGGCTACATCTAGGACACTCGCGTTCCCCGATTTCATCCAATCGTTGTTCTAGTTGGAGAGAAAAGCGGGTGTCGCCTCTCGTACGTTTGGGATCCTCCCCACCCCCCTGATTCCACTGGATCCGGAGATTTTCCCTTCCTAAGGGAATGATAGGTGTTCTTTGGGAACTGGTTCGATCATGAGGAGCTCTTAAATTTGTCACATAGGTTCAATCTCGAGCTCGGGTTCTATCCAGAAACACGCCCTCCTGGCCTTTCGCATTGTGCTGAGCGGTCTGGTGTATGCATGGCCAACCACTCAATGGAACACAATGCATTCAGAACCGGGTTGACATGTACTGTGCCCCGCAGCGTGCCAAGGCGCAAGTGCTTACTGTCGTCGTGTAAATCCCGTACATTACGATAGGTAGATGGCTGCTAGTCTCCGATACGATACAGCAAGAAGTTTGATGCTAAAATTATATCGGCACCTCCTGTGACAAGAGCTGCCCCCTGCCATAGAGAGGGGCTCTGCTTCCGTAGCCGACCCGTTATGGATTGGCCGGCCGGGGCCGCCCCCGTCGGGGTTGGCAGCACCACAAAATTATAGGCTTCTGGAATGAGGAGGGTGTGAAGTCATTCTCTAGAAAGCCCAATTTTTGTAGCGAGTTTATGCTCATAGTTGCTTCACAAGTGTTGGAATCGATGGGGATCGTGAGTTGTGGTTGGTCATGGAGGGCATGGGGAGGAAGTTGGAAGGTCAAGTTGTTTCTGGAAGTTGTGAGAGTATGTTTGATTGTTTGGGAGCATAGATTTGTTTGAAGGTTGGAAGAGAATTCCAGGGGTTTGTGTTTCCTTTGTTATCATGAAAGTGGACTGAGGAGATTGGGCCTGTGTGGAATCACGGGGATGGGTGTAGCGATCCAAGGAGGGATCGGGTCGCTTGGATGATGTTTTACTTATGCACCTGTCATTACCGATTAGTTAGGTGAGAGTGAGCGAAAACCAAAAAATAAAACGAATTTCATACATCTCATAGCCCTCCTATTATAGTCAAGTTCCATCCAACTCTGCTTTTCTTACCATCGCGCTATTAGGTATCCACCTCCCCTCCAACAAGAAGCTGGGGGAGACAAAGCAGGGGTTGAGCTTGCCGTAGTTTCTTTTTAATATCTACGCTAGCGGTAGTTTTATCCATTGCCCCCAAAAATCTTGGTGGTGGCCGTGGTGGATGTGAGCTCATAAGTTAGGTGAAGCGGAAATGTTCTGATGGAGTAGCTATTTTTTTTGAGTATGCGATACTATAGGATCAGGATGGTTATATGGATATAGGATGGGACAATCTACGGAAAGCGGGTACGAGTCGGTATGGGCCTTTGCTGAGGTGGTGACATCGTGGTTCCACAGTGTAAATTGGTTAGCAGTACCCCATTGGCATTGGGAAAGGAAAAGATCTCGCTCTCACCCCCCCCCTGAAGCCAATTAACCGAATTCCAACGGGGGGCCTACCTCACCAGCACCGGAGCACCCTCTCAGCTTGTCTTTGTGGCAAAGCTACTGCATTCCCTGAGATTCCACAAGGGCTTCCCCGGTTTGGATATTCCGGATACCTCACGCTCCATATGAAGTTCTGCGACTAGTGAGCGCATTTCGTCCCAAGTCCCAGTTGGCATCTGTGGTTTTGGAAGAGTGGTCTTGGGAATCAGAGGAATGCCTGTTCGGGTAGCGTTCAGATGGAATGGGATCTGTTCAACCATCGAAAGTTTGGTGGCAGAAAGGGGTTGGACCTTCGGAGGAATCATGGGAGTGTGTGTTCGACTCCGGGATGGTGTTGCTCTATCATTCTCTGTTCTCCATATTACTTTTTCTGTGTATTTATTTGTTATTTCTTTTCGTTTTATAGCGTTCACGCCTCAAGGTATATCAGTCTCATTCCTCAGTCTCATTCTTCTTCATCGGTTCTCACTCGGCGCGGTTAGATTTTACCATGTCGACATCCCTTACCGCACCAGACACAACCTCTGTTTCTTTTGACCAGTGGCACCACGCTGCCGGTACCGGTAGTCATTACCGTTCTGCAAACTGTTCTGTATTTGTAATAAAATAGCCTTTCCCTCCCAGAACACATAAGTCAGCGCTATTAATCACGGGGGCCTCGGCTAGCTCATCCACACATCCTGGGCTTGGGTGCACTAATTAATTGAAACAAATGGAGGTTAGCACCTATACGACAAATCGAGTACTCGAGTACTCGTACGGTATCCATTTCTTTTGTCGCCAAGCTCGTATGAGGCTACCGTAGAGAAAGAAATCACCGGTAGCGCAGGCGTACTGTACCACACCAAGAGTAACCGACCGCAAGTACCGGTAGTTGAATTTCCCTCCTTCCTAGATTGCCCAACGAATACAGGAAAAAAAATACCAGGACAAGCTTCAGAGCCATGCCAAATTTCCATACGCAAAAGGTCAGGCCCAGCAAAGATAAATTCAATGTTTTGATAAAATTGTTCAATCGGGGTTGGAGAAGGGTGACAGAGCCACAGTCCCCCGCGCAAAAAGCGCCAAGACCCTATGCCACCTTCACTCTTCGATCAACAGACATTCCCGAGAAGAGAGCTGTTCATTTGCGACAAGCTGGAAGATAAAAACCCAAGGAATTCTCTTGGATATGCAGTAAATTTTGGGCTTTACCGATTGAACAGAGGCTGTGTCATAATGTTATGATCATGGCTGCCTTGCATGTGCGAGTAAAGCGCGCTTTTACCGGTGACGTCTGTCCTTGGCCTCGTACGTACATCGTGTTCTACCCCTCCGCAAGTGGCCCGTCGCTGGCTTCCATGATGGTGGGTGGGGACAGAGGGAAATGTGTGTGAGGCAAGGGCGCGTAAAAAGTGCCGGTAGGAGGGATTTACCAGTACGGTACAGTGGGAGAAGACGGGTGAAAGATGTGTTACGGATGGTACAAGTAGGTAGTGGTAAAAAAAAGGAAAGAAAAAAAAAAGGCGTGCGGGGCACCAGGCGAGGAGAATATTGAACCTCAGCCGGCCCAAGCACAGTACGCATGCAAAATACAGGGTCACCGTGGGAACATACCGGTATTACAAGCAGTCCAACCAAACACTCTTCCGGAAGTTACACGCAGTTTCGCTGCTTTGCCCACTGCCCGGGATAATCCGATTTTCACTTGTCCGGCAGGACGTTGCTACAATGGGAGTGAGCGACCCGCTGGGCAATGGGAATTTCCACCTTGCAGGCCGGATATCCCTTGGCCGCGCAGGTTGCTCCGTGCATCAAACCTTAGTTGGCCGTTCCCTTGGCGGAATTTTTTCTTCTTCGTACTCGAGTGCTCGAGTAGAATGATGCCTAAATAGCTAGGGGCACTGATATCTTGGCCTGTCGAGTGAGCTAGCATGAGCATCGAGTGTCGGCGGCTAGATCAATACCATACAAGGGGGAGGCGTAGCTACCCTTTTGTTCTACCAACCAAGCCAAGTTTCTGCAATGTATTTGCAACTCCACTAACCGCATGATTTTGGTAGTCTAGTCATCTGGAATCCTCCTGTATCCCCCCCCCCCTAGTGGTAACAAGGGATCTGTAGCGTCAGGAGTTAGAGATGCGCGATAGTGGTGTTTACTAAGCACCAGCGGCGTCGGTGGATGAGTCAGCAGGGGTGTGATGCAGGGCCGCAAACGAGCGCGAGAGTCTACTCGACTGCCGGGGAATTTGCCTAATGGATCTTTAGAGCGTCATAATAATGTGGCCCGAGGGTGACAGCGGGTGGTCGGTCAGTTCTGGGGAAGTGGGTATCATGGATTGTGATTCATGCTCCGTTAGGTCCGGGGAGGGGCTTTGCCCCCCTTCGTTGGGTGAATCGCGGCAGAGGGGGCAGGTGTACTACAGGCTCCGTCAATGTCTTAGAATCCGGGACAGTTACTGGCGGGTGGCTTTGACGTGGCTTTGAGTTTGCTGGTTTGAATGATAAGATCATAAGGGAATGACCTCTAGCGATTCTAGTGAGGAAAAGAGGACGATGGCCAGGATTCTGTGGAGCGAGAGGGCGGCCCATGACATCATTTCATTCTCTATATAAAATATGGACCGGTATAACACTGAAAGGGAAAAGTAACAATTGAAAATAAAATCTGAAAAGAATACAAAAAAAACCCCAACACTTCCTCCATACACAAATATTATTTCCCATCACCCCATCACCGGTGCTCACTTGTCCGTCGTAAACATAAAAGCTTTGATTCGTACCTCGGAAAATTAGTGCATATTCTTGATATTGTTTCTGTTTAGGGAGGAAAGACGGTGATTCTATTTACCAATGAATGCAGTAGCTCAGCATCTTCTTGGAAGGATGCGGGGGGGCGGGGGGTTTTCTTTTTTGATTCGCGTATAAAAGGTTGGCTGTTCGCCCGTAGGTAGGAAACGGTGGGCGAGCAATACGTGCGAGATCGGAAGTCCCCCGTGATACCGTTCTCCCCAGCCCAAGGCTCCCAGTGCGCAAGGTCGACGAGCAGCGCCGAATAACGAAAAGTGTCCCTACTTGCTAGTAAACAGCACCTTAACAGCTCATACTCATCGTGTGTGATTCGTCATACCTCCCGGGTTGGTGGGAAGTGGTAGACCACTCCCGTCACCTCTATCTTAGCCAAGATAACTCCAAATGATAAATTGCTTTGTCGGCCCGTCATCCTTGTCGAAGGCTGCGGGCCCCCAAAGCGATGAACCACATGGGCTGCAAACTGTGGCTATGTTATACCCACTTGTCTTGGTAGTCTCTTCCCTGCATGCCGGCTCATCGTCTCCAATTCTTTGCACTCCTCCGGGTGCTGCAGCACCCGAGCCAGGTTGTTGGCACTTGTTAAGGTATTGGGGTGGTCTGGTCCTAGAATCTTCTCGTACCACTCTAGGGCATACCAATTCATGGTCTCTGATTCCCCGTACCTTACTCGACACAGAAGTGCAATGGCCAGGTTGTTGACACTCGATAGGGTGTCGGGGCAGTCTGGTCCAAGAACCTTCTCGCACCCCTCCAGTGTCCACTTTCCCTCATATGATTTCACCACTCCCAGATGCACAAATCTCTTCTGAAAGGACAATCGCGGGATCACTCTCAGAGCAGTCCCTTCTGTTGGCAAATAAAGCTGTAAAGACGGTTGGACCAAACGGTGAAGCTCGTAAAACGTCTTGCTCTCACACCTGATACTGATAAACGGTGGGAATCCCCAAGGCTTTCCAATGGCCTGATGAAACTCAACTGGATCATCCATTCCGGGCTGACTCAATAGCTCCTCGGGTATGTTTTGACGATCGAAGAATGCAATTAGCCGGGGAAGATCAACTACTAGGCACATCTTTTCTGCGATCCGGTTAAAGGTGACAAAGTATGTAGCCAGGATACTTTCGGTCATATCAACCTCTCGTTGGATGTCACAAAACGGCTGTGAAAGTAGTCTCTTTGCTTGTCCATCGCTCCCCCGGAAGATGGCCCAGTAAGCGGATGGCGGTGCCCTGGTTTCGGTCATGAAGGCTGCCATACCGATAATAGCCAGCGGCACGTGACGCGGGGAGCTCAGGATCATCGCGATAAACCCTTTTTCTTCAACTCCCAAAGCGTCCCGGCTACCAAAGCGTTTCGAAAACAACTCCAGGGCTTCTTCCTCCCCCATTTCTTCAATCTCGACCACCCCGCAGCCCTGGCGAGACGCGACCGATGGCGGCCTGGCCGCGGGAACCACGGTCCCCCGCCCCGGACCCTGTGGTATAAACTTGGCGATAGGGCTGTTGTTGCCATCAAAGTCGGCGTCGTTGTCGGCATTGTCGATAACCAGAATCCAGTCACCGCTCTCTGGGCCTTCAAACCACCTCTCTGTGCGCGGCAGGGATCCCCCTTCGTCAGTCACAACAATGGCCGGGCGAATTCGAGCATGCTGGGCAATAGCCCTGAAGCCCTCACTAAATTTTAATATCCTACTCTCCTGCACCCAGAAATCGTTATGACCGGTCTCGCCCGTGCGCTGGTGGACATATTCGAGGGCAATCTGAGTTTTTCTAAGCAACGTTAGTGAAACCATTCGTAAAAGAAAATAATGAATACATAATTACCCAGAACCGCCTAACCCATGAAGTGCGATCCGGTTGGGACCACTCCTCTCGCAAAGCCTCCCTACCGACCCGACAAGATCATTATGGTCAGCAGACATGTTGTTCCTGCCATAGGGAATAATCCGGTGGGGTCGGGACGCTTCTTGTAGCCGCGATAGAACGTTAGCAGGTTGCCGGAAAGTTAGAGGGAAAGCTGGCGTTACCTCGGTCCCCAGCTCTAGATGGGCAGGCCTGATATGTCGTTCTGAGATGGGAAACATTGGTGAGGTAACCCGTGTTCATGTTATTATTGCTACCGCTACCGGGAATAGGATGATCCCCTGAATTCCCACTGAAGTCTCCACTGATATCGGCTTGCATATTTCTGGGGGGAGTATCAGAGAATAGCCATTATTTTGAAAGCACCAAGGACGAAGGGAAGGGGAACCCACTGGTGCATTGTGTATTTAGGTGGCTGCGAGGCCGTTTTTGAGGGTCGGGTGTGAATGTAACAAGGTGCTCAAAATCGGTTGGCAGGACCTAAAGCAAGTCAATAGCAGGGAGAACAAGCAGCGGAGGACCCAACCTAGAGGGTGGCGATGGACGGTTCTATATATGGGCATGGAGTGACGGGGTCTCGGGGCAGCAAGGAAAGCTGGAGTCCACTCAGCGGAAATCAGAGGTCCCAGCAGTCCAGGCTGAGGGAGGGCCCCGGAAAAAGCAAACGAAATAGCATGCGGTGTCAGACTTGGCACCCAGTAGATTTGGGCAATGTGATTGGTTGGGCTTCCGGTTCCGATTTGGACTGTGACTCGCATTAGGTGCACACCCCCCCGCCATGTCTTGGGGTGCCGGCATCTGGACGATAACGACAACCTTCTGGGACGTTCTATCAGTTACCGCAGAGTTGCCGGGTATAAACCTATCAAACGATGCCGGTGCACACATACGGAGAGCTCGTTCAGCCCGCCCATGGAAGCGGTGGCCTTGGGCTATCACGCTCATCTCTCGATAGATTTAGAGGCTGTCCAATCATCGGGGAGAAACACGCGCATGCTCAATTGCCCAATAATTGATCAGCCCACCAAGATGCAAGCCGGTGGATAAAGCGGCGGGGAAGGGGGGCACGATGTTCCAGCAGCGTGCCGATGATAAGGGGGTGACATTTTGGAAAAGCAGCGGACTTGTTTCGGCATCCGGGAGGGCCCCGAATCGAGGCGGCACGAGAGGCACTGATTTTCCCGCGCAGCTGGCTTTAGAAATTGTACGCGAACTGCGTGCACCGTACCGGTAGTGGTAACCCAAAGCGTGCCTCCTGGCGCCTTTCGTTCCACGCATTCCGAGGTTGTGTGAGAGGGAGATAGAGTGAGATTGTATCATACATAAATTCACCTTGCCTGTGTGCTCGTACGGTAATGCCGCAAGCGCATGAAATGACTGCGCTGGAACTCCCTCCCGAGATGTAGGAGTTTGCATGGTGCTCGTAGCAAAAATCGAGATCCCACATCAACCCGGAAGTATACACCGCACCGAACCTTACGTATGGTACGAGTGGGGGGATATCATTCTCGCTGGAATCGCACATTGTTTCATACCGTACCACACTTACTGGAATACCGGTACTGTACTGGCAACTCGACCCCATGCTGGAGAGTTGCAGGTGCTTCTCCCAGCAATCTGCCGTACATTTTCGCCTCGAGTTGAGGCCGAGGCAGTCATTTTCCCCTCACTTTCCGTCCCCTGTCCGGGAGAGAGAATTTTGCACGCCTTGGGCCGGAGTTCAATTACCGGTATTCTACGGTGGCGCGGGGGGCATCGAGCGATAAGGCCCAAGATGTACGAGTAGAGCCTGTAGCCCTGGAGTGGGTCGACCATCGCTCGACCAATTGCACTGTAAACGGGAATCCCCCAAGTCCAAACGGAGGGGGGAGCTCTTTTTCAGACTTTGGAAAACTTGGGATCTATGATGGAAGTCCATTCTCCAGATCTCGGCGCGAAGACATGGCAGGATCACCCCCAGATCCCCGGATCACTGCGATAGCCCCTCCATCGCATACTCGCTCGTGCACACCAAAAACCTGAGGCCTGGGCAAATTTCTCACTGCGTGCGACGGTGCGAGCGAAGTGCCGGCAGCTCGAATCTTTTTTCACCCTTCCCCGCACATCATCGCCCCGGTTCGAAGCCGTTTGCGGAATTGGCATGCGATGCGAGAGCAAGGTTCGAAAAAGCGCCGGGCACGCTCGTCCTCCTCATCGGATGGTGGGGTGGTGCTGTGCCAAGACCAATTGGCTAGCCATCGCGCTTTTGAGCATTTTTGACCCGGTCGGGATACAATGCAGATCTCCATGGGGGGGGGGGGCACCATGGTGGAAAGCCTTAACGTTACCGGAAAACTTTTTTTCAATAGCCGCAACAAACTGCGTCAAGTGATACGGCACATCCATCCTCTGTTCTCCGCTCAATTTAGCCGCAATTATCCTCCGCATACCGGTACCGCCCCTCCCGGACGCCTCCCACCGCAGACCGTTGAGAGTTGCTCTGCAAAACTTCATCCGATACGCTGTGCCTATCTCGCAGCGTGCTGCAAGCTGAGTTCTGCCATGTACGGTACAGTACGACCTATGTCATTATTGAACACATTGGCCTTGGCCTATCAGAAGCAATCAGCATCAGTGAATCCACATCCGTACCCCTTGGTGATATCTACGGATTAGAAATTGCAAAGAATTTTCGGGAGAGCGGTGCCGACACCGCCCCGAGAAAACTCCGGACAAGAAAACAATGCACTTCAATCTGGTGGGCCGGGAAAGGCTTGGAGCCAGTGCTGGAGGACTACCGCCTGCATCGGGGGATGTGTTGACAGATTGGGTGACGGGGCATTATTGTAATCTACCGCAATCCGGCACGCCGGTTGCAACGCAAGGCCGTGGATGGGATTGGTAGGGGAGGTATCGGACACCGAGTATGGTGGAATTGGCGGGAGCGTTTACGGGAGATAGCAGAAATGTGGGTGCACGGGAGACCATTCATTTTTCGGGAATCCCAATTGCGGAGAAGTTTCCTTGAGCCTATCTTTCCTTTGTTATCACCGGAGCGTACGGGTAGATAGGGACGTGCATGGGGGAGCAGTGATATCTGTGGTCATCTGCGGAAGGATAGGAAGGCTTTAATTCTATTTACAGTAAGGTGACAAATGTCATCGTTGATGGCCACTTTTACTCCAACAGTACGGTTTTCCACAGCATTGACACTCCACCACTTGCTGTGCAATTGAATCAATTCTTGTGGAAATGATGATTCTGAGTATTGAATTCACAGTATTAAAATCTTGAAAGATATGATGCAATATGGTGTGAACTGTTGTGGTGTGAAATTAGTAATTTTAAAAACAGGTATCATATCTTTTTCTGTGGGGAGCCATACAAATTCTTGGCGCTTATCTCCAGTTTTTGAATCAGTCACTCTAGACGATGAGTGTTGCACACAGAACAAAGGGATTTGTTATAGAAATATGAATTTCAGAATGGCCAGTTCTTTGGCTAGTTGTGAATACATTTTAAAGTTAATTGGTTAAGAGGTGGATATGCAAATCAGGATTTCCCAAGCCCTAGTCTTCATTGATTTTGGTGTGTTTTGGGCGGTACAGTACAAGTACTCAGGCCCACCAACGATGACTTTTGACCAAGAACTGTACATATGGGTGCAGTTTTAGGAAAACAGGGAAACTTGCACATGATCCGATTTTTATTATTTTCCCAAAACTGCACCCATATACTCCTGTCTTTACCGCTATTTTACAGGGAGAGTGGAGAAAAACAGGACATCGAAGTTTCCGACCCCGCCCCCCTCACATACTCAAGTAGTGCCGAAGTCCAGGGCTCTTTCTCTCAGCATACGGCTGCACTACTTGTCAGTCACCCCACAGCCATCCACCTCCCCTCCTACACTCTCTTGCGTTGAAGCAAAAATAATAGGCCCGGGGCCCCGCTGAGAGAGGCAACCACAATGTCTGGCACGCTTTCCGTGCCTTCAAGTGCTTATCCTACCCGAGAACCATCTCCACCACCATCGCTAGCCATGTTTCGGAACAATACCGGTGATTGAAGCTAGGGCTGAAGACATTCTCACGAGAGGGTTTGTTGTGCTAGATGTGCCTTCCTTTCGCTAGGTTGTCGATAGCGCGTGATATTGCACGGATACCCAATTAGGAGATGTGCGGTCAAAGGGCACGTGGTTTTGAGCGTGTACGGAGGTAGGCATCGTATAGAATTTTTGTATGATACCTTTGCGGGTATATTCTTGGCTTGAGGAGCCAACCAATTTCAACACGTTTTATGGCACTCGTGGGCAATTGGGTAAGCCAGCTTTGAAAAGCTTTCCTTACTCAAGTTCCCGGATTGAAGTCCCTCCTGTTTTGGCGGTGGCCTGCTGAAGGGACGCTGCTTCAATCTGGCGACATGAGTATATTTTTTCCCCCTCCCGTGAAGCCCCCATTTCCATCATTTCCTCCTCAGTTATGTTTTCAGCAGTTATCCTTCTTTCACCGCCCTCACCTGCAGTCGTACCCCCCCCCTCCCCCCTTGCTCCCAGAAGCCACTGTCTCACCCTGTATGGCCTTCCATCCGAGCCAGATACGGCAGTCCTCATATATCACTGCCTTGGACGGACTGCTGGAAGGCTTCTAGCCCTGTCTGATATCCTTGGCAGCAGCCCAGCCGGGTGGCGATGGGCCCCCGGACTGTTCGGAACACAGACTACCGGAAGAATTTATGAACTCGAAACTATGGCAATTCAAAATTCACCTTCATTTGGACATAAACTTGACCGACATCAGCACCAGGCACAAACACGGGGCCGGACGCAGTCAAATAAAGAGGCTATAGGTTCAAGAAAACCCAAGGACAGTACAGACTCTTATGCGAGGTGGGGAACTACTCTTGGCGCTAGGACATTTCCTCTCGGAGCCGGGCCAGTACATTACCCAGTCTGTATTTGTGGTCTCTGCTAACACTCACAGGCTATAGTCTACTCAAGGCCTACCTCTGAGAGGGATCTCAAGAGACGCGGAGGAAGACTTATGTCCGGGGGCAGTAGGAAACTACGAGAGGGTTATTATGTTGGGAGTTCGGGGCTCCGGGATACTCACCGTGTCAAAGATTGATGTCATGAGTGTGAGGCTGGATATCCCTCTGCAGGGCAAGAAGAAGTGAGGTGGTTCTGCGCATTTCGAGGCTTATGGGTGTTGCTGTATTAGGGTTTGAAATTGATTGATTCTACGGTAAAAGTCTTCAATGCCACAACCCGGCGTGAAAATATCTACAATGCCACAACATGTTAGACTAGTACCGGTAATGAAAAATTTTCACCATGACACAACTCATCACTTTCTTTCCTTCCTGAGTTTTTGTGCATGTTTTCCTCACCTGATCCTATGGCAGCGGCCTTATCCGATCTCCATCCAGCTCTGACCTTGGGGCAACGTTTCTCTTCTTTCAGTGGAGTCGCAGGGGTTT